GTATATATAAACCGGTAAGAACTGACGCCAAGGTAATGTGTAATTGAACTGTGGAAAGAGAGACGTATTGTTGAGTCGGGCACGTGAGACAATTATAGCGTATGTTATAGCGCGACTGTGGAAATTAAGTGTATTGCAAAGTTGTATTCAGAAAGAATAAACCAGTTTCATTGAGGAAAGGACATGAATCGCTAAAGTTGCTTCGGAAAGAAATTATACGGAAAATTAACTAACGAACGGAGGCGTAAAAATATAATATCACTGACATTGAGTTATTAATCCAATGCATTTTTTTATTTTAGTATGTGAACTGTCTTTTGTCTTTGGCAATTAAAAGAATAACATTTTTTGTAATAACAGAAATTTTAATATTTTAAATTATATCATTAAAACAAAATAACGTTAGTTAGGCAATGTTTTCAAGTGTTGTTTAATGAATTATTTTACAGTTAAATGTGTGGTATCCCGAGAATTTCTACCAAAGCAGAGAAGTGTGAACTTGCAAAAACAGGAAGTTCGTGGATGTCATATGCGGGTGTGTTTCTCGATATATATGATGGTAAGGCCACAAAAAATAGACCAACACAGACTGCCACCTCAGAATAAAACATCAGGAAACTGAACTGAGAAAATTCTAATTTAAAATAAAAGAGCCAAACATATCTCTGCATCTGCTTATGAATGCCATTCACAAATATCGTTAACATCAGGACCTTCCTGAACTACTTCAGCTATCCTACTGCTTTATCAACTTATAGAGTTTAGCAGGTCATTGCACAATCAAGAAATGAACAGATTATGGTGGAAAGGTACATTGGGATGCATATGAAGCACAATTAGAAATCACTTCTAAAGAGAATCATATGGAGAATATTGAACACATAGCTATTGATGTTGCTGCATGTTTAAAAGTCAGCTTAAATAACATTGAGTAATCATCCAATAAAGAGCTGTAATAGGTACCAGGTATCAGTGAGCACTTTATCAAAGATATTTGGAGTGTCACGTTAAAAATAATTTTCTAAAGTAAACTTTCGATGTGGAAATACTTGTCCAAGTGTCTTATCTAGATGCTCCACGTGTATTCATTGGCAAAAGACCAAATCAAGTGATATAAGACAGTGATGAATCAACAAATGATAATAGATAGAGGAGATGGTACACTGAGGATGAATTCAAGAATGAAAAGAGATGGAAGTAACAACAAAAAGTTAATCAGACATTGGAAAACAGAAATTACTTGGACTTTAGGTGCAAAGTTCAGAAAAGAACAGCCTATTTGTCCTTTCTGAGATAAGTTATTCAGTATTTAAAGAAACCACTTCACCTCTAAATGTATTCACTGATATGAAACCTTGCAACATGTTGATCACACTGGTTCAATGGTTTAACAGGTACCATTGTTCAACATAATTTGGTAAGGAAAGATAGGAAATTGTATCCATAAATAAAGCAAGAAGGTGGATTGAGGTGAACAGCATGTTCATAAAGTTCCAGCAAAAGGGAAGTTGGGAGTCCCCTTCAGTATGGGAAGCTTCTCTACACAAAATGATTTATGGATAAGTGACATTGAGAAAAATGCATATTGGGGATAGAATTCATCTGAATTTGCTTTAAAGACTCACAGTCTGTGACATGAAATTCTTGTACAATACACGACATTTACAATACCATAGGTTGAACTTCCAGTGAAAATAAGGAAAGAAGTTAATTTACCACCAAGAAGTGAAATACATCTACCAAGATATGCTAGGGACAACTTTAGATCTAATGAATGAGGCATGGTAGAACCAAACTCTCAATTTTTTCGTGAGCAATTATTAGGTAGAAGAAACTTCGTGAAGCTGAAGAATAAGAATATCGTCATTAGATCTTATATATCGCAAACCATGAAACATAAGCCAATTCTGGATGGAACATCACAAGATATGAAACTGTACAGGTAGTACATTAACATCAAAGAACATCAGAAGTTCTCACCTTAGAAATAAGATGTAGGAAGTATGATGTTAAATCCTTAGATAAAGGGGGGGGGGAGCTTACCACCTCATTTAAAGGCATTATAGGGCCAAAAATTGAAAGACACAAGTGAACAGAAATTACAATTTTAGGTGATGTAGACAATAACATCAATGTAGAACAATATGCAACATTAAGGACAAGACTGTATATACTCCCGTGATTTGGTAAACTACTTAAACCCGATGATAACAAAATCTTCAATCATTGTAATTTTGTTACTGTGTTAAACTCTCATTAAAGTTTTCTGTGTTGCCGTTTAACTCGTCTCTAAAGTGTATTAACGTACCTACCTTATTTCAAGTTATCTGATTTCTTCTCATTGAAGCAAGTTTCCGTAGCTTTCAAATGGATATAATCTAAAACACAAATACTTTTACATTATTCAACGAAAGAAACGTTTACAGAAATTATAAAACCTATTAAACATATATATTTACTCATAATACGTAATAATTCAATTCTTGCTATATCCAATAATATTTATGTTTTTCTTTATAATTCTTTAAAAACTGTTTTATTTGTAAATGATTAAACCACTTGATGTAGCATCATAGCAAGATTTCAACGATGGAGTGTAAAAAACTAAGGCAAACATTTGAAAATCGAGAAATAGATAATGTATTGTTACGACATCGAGGTCACGTGACTGGTATCACGCCACGTCGTTCTCGAACATTCACGTCCTTTCCTTAAATCTCGTGATCCTTCTAGATATAGTGTAGTCTTGTATATATAAGATCGGCCACGAAGCGACGGGGAGGTAATGAGAAATTGAATGTATGTGGACAGAATATTGTTGGCCACGTGAGACGTGAGTTATAGCGTTTGTTATAGAGCGAATGTTGAAATTAAGTGTATCATAAAGTTGTATTCGGAAAGAATAAACCAGTTTTATTTAAGAAAGGACTTGTGTCGTTAAAGTTTCGTCGGAACGAATTTACGGAAAATTAGCTAATGAACGGAGAAGTAACAAATTGGTGTCAGAGAGTGGGACAAAAAAAATGGAAACGAGAAGCGGCAAATCAAACTACAGCTTAGCAGACTTGATGGCAGCAATACAAGAGCAGCAAAAGAAACAAGAAGAACGAGAAAATAAACAAGAAGAGAGATTACAGCAGTTGTTAGAGGAAAAAGAAAAGAAACAAGAAAAACGAGAAAAGAAACAAGAAGAGAGACAACAACAGTGGCAGCTAGAACAACAAAATAAACAAGAGAGATTACAGCAGTTGTTGGAGGAAAAAGAAAAGAAACAAGAAGAAAGATTACAGCAGTGGCAAGAAAACCTGCAGCAGTGGCAGCTCGAAC